ACTCTATTGCAGGCTCCATCCCCAGCCCATGTGGGAGACAATCAATTGATATGTCTCTCTCACATAGATGTTTCTCTCTGTCTCTACCTCTCCCTTCCTCTTGTTCTAAAAATCAATGGAAAAAATATCCTTAGGTGAGGATTTACAAACAATAAAAAGTGGATTGAGCTCAGTTGTTTGAGCAAAGTACCGAGCACTGAAAGGTCTCTGAGTTTGATTCTTTTTTTTTTTTTAAATATATTTTATTGATTTTTCACAGAGAGGAAGGGAGAGAGATAGAGAGTTAGAAACATCAATGAGAGAGATACATCGATCAGATGCCTCCTGCACATCTCCCATTGGGGATGTGCCCACAACCCAGGCACATGCCCTCGACCGGAATCGAACCCGGGACCTTTCAGTCCGCAGGCTGACACTCTATCCACTGAGCCAAACTGGTTTCGGCAAGATTGATTTAATTTTTGTTAGCTGAATTGTTCCTTTGAAGATAGATTTTTTCATAAGTGTACTGCATCTATTTTTTCATAGGCAATATAAAGAAGATGAAAGTCAGTCGGAAGAAGACTACAGCAGCCTTGATGCCTCACCAACTTATAAAGGCCTTCTACTGGTACAGAGACTACCTGACATACATACTTTTTTATAAAGTGAAGTAGTCATGTAGGAAAGTTAACTTTTTTTTTAATGAAATGTGTTGCAGTCATTACAGAATCAACTGAAGGAATCAAAATTTAAGATTGATGCACTTTTAAGTGAAAAGCTGAATCTCCAAAAAGATTTGGAAACCAGGTAAGAGAAACTTAAGTAATTTTTATGTAACCTTTGAAAAGTAAACACATATTGGAATTTAGAATGTTAAATGAGTCATTCTAGCCCTTTTACTCTAAAACTAATCTTGAGGAAATTCATACTCATTCATTTTAGTCAGTTGTCTGTCATATGATGGAAGGAATAAGAACACATAGGTAGGCAAGGGAAGTGAGAAAATAGGAGTCTACATTGAAAAGATAAAACTGGGTAGGAGCTCAGAATTGATTCGGTAGTAGATTCTTATACTAGTAGGTTTCCCATCCCCAGATTCCTTTAGGACATATTATTTCATCTTATCCTTATGTTATGGGAGAAGAATAAGATGAAAAGTTTAAATGGCATACTATAGAAAGGTATATTTATATACAGCATACTACCACAAAAGAATGAGACTCTACATGTGTACAGTGATTAATAAGGAATGAGACATTTAATTCAACAAATATTTGTTGAACATCTATTATAAGTTAGACACTTTCCTAAGCCCTGGTATAATATAATGACCAAAACGAATACCTTGTTCTCATAAAGCTTATACTTTAATGGAGAGGGCACTGATACCTGTAGTATAAACCTCTTATATAAATTTTAACAACCTGCCACATAGTAATATGGAAAATTATGATAATATAAATAATAAAAATTTTAAAACATGTATGGGAATCATGAACAGTGAATTCGGGATAGTGGTTACTTGTGTTATGCAAAAGAGAGGAATGACATTAATAAGGGACACACATGCAGTGTTAAGTATGTGTATAATGTTTTAGTTAAGACAGCGGTTCTCAACCTGTGGGTCGCTTCCCCTTTGGGGTCGAACCACCCTTTCCCAGGGATCGCCTAAGACCATCGGAAAACACATATATAATTACATATTGCTTTTGTGATTAATCACTATGCTTTAATTATGTTCAATTTGTAACAATGAAATACATCCTGCATATCAGATATTTACATTACGATTCATAACAGTAGCAAAATTAGTTATGAAGTAGCAACGAAAATAATTTTAAGATTGGGGGTCACCACAACATGAGGAACTGTATTACAGAGTCGCGGCATTAGGAAGGTTGAGAACCACTGAGTTAAGAGATTTGAACCAAATCTGTTAATATTTAATTTTAATATGGTAAAACTATTTGTAAAATACTATTTGTTTTACTATTTATTCTTGTCTGTACATTTGAAATATTTCACATATACACAGATAATAGTTTTACAATGATAAAAATGGGTAAAAAGTTTTGAATAGAAAATAATAGAGAAGAAATCCAATAGCCAATGAACCCTCACTAGCAGTCGTGTGATATTTTAAGAATTTTAAAAAGCATATTTGTGACAAGTAACAAAGTATACACTATTGTTTATTATTAAATAGTCTTACGTGTTTTTTAATAAATTGAATATATTTAATATGATTTATTTTCTACAGGCCCACACAGCATGAATTAATACTTTATAAACAACAGGTGAAGAAACTGGAGAAAGCCCTAAAGAAAAGCATCAAGTAATTATATTTTACGAAAGTTACAAATTTATTAGGCTTTTGTATTTTATTACCTCTCATTTTCCCTCATAGTGAGCTTGGCTTAAAATTACCAGGTTGATGGAGGGAAATTACATTTAAAAGGGGTATTTCTGGTTCCACAGTTTAAAAACAATTTCTACTGTTTTGGATTTGGCTATATATTCATCTTAAATAAGAACAAGAAAACGGAATTTGCCTAATTTAATATGGACAAGATTTTAACTAGAAAATTGTCTTTGGAAATCATGGAGGGATTATAAGAGAATCATTGAAATTAGAAATGGCAAGCCCCAAATCATGGTGGTAGCCATGACCTGAAGAATATATAGCCTCAGCATACTTTAAAAGTACCAGAATGAATGCAGTGATCCATTTATATTCACCATTTGTATCTTTCTTGACTTTGAAAAGCACATACTCAGAGGAGTTTCAAAAAATTTTTCCTCTACTAGTGGTAATATTTCCTGAAGGTTATCTATGTATACTCTTTGACTCAAGGGAAAGGGACTTAAGGGATCATTGGGATGAAATATTTTGAAAACTATGAATTAATATATGTATTAGAAGTATTATATCAACTGTATATAAGTTGATTCAGTTTTTAGTGACAGCTGTATTTCCTTCTTCCTATGGCAACACATGCCACAGTGATAGGCAAGTATTCTGGATATCCAAAAATTACATATTGAATTAAATAAAATAGTACAGAAGGAAAACTAAATAAAGAGAGAAGTGAAGGTTTGGGAAAGCTGCATTCATTCATTCCATTAATATTTTTTTTCCTTCCTACTATTGCTTGACATTTTGGGTACCTATGATAACCTCCTACTATCTGCTTGGCATCTGGGTACTGGAATTACAGTGGTAAACCAAATAGAAAAGGTTCCTGCTCTCATGGAGATTATACAACAGGAGAAGGCCAGTGAAAATGACAGTTTTTATATAAAAGTACTAAATGTAAAATAGTGTAAGAGTTGCTATTGTGTGAGTTTTGGACATGATCAAAGATGGCAGTGGTGGAGGTGTTCAAGTGTTTGGAGTATTAGAATGGATAGATTGTGATAGATTGAATATAGGCAGCTGGGGGGCAGAGGGAAATCAAGACTCCTAAGTTTTAGGCCTGAATAGGTAATTGTTGGTACATTAGCCAAGATGGGAAACTGGGTTGAGAAACAACTAGTAAAAGGAGACTATAGGGGGGTAATAAGTCAGAGGAGAAAGTGTAAGAGAGGAAAAGCTTTTCATTAGCCCTCTTAGAGTCTCTGTCTGGGCCTGAAAACTAAACTGACAAGGACAGATTAACATGAGAAAAGCATACAGATTTATTGAATATAAGTTTTATATGACATAGGAGCATCCTTAAGGAAATGAAGGTTTGAATATGCAGTTAAACCTGAGTGTTTTTATACCAGGTTTGATGAAGTGGAAAGTTGTGGGGAAGTGTGATAGGACAAAAGAGTATGAGCTAAGGGTAGTAAACTGGGGGAAACTCAGATTTTTCTTGGTGTCCCTCTGTCTTCAGAGGTAAAGTTGCTCCCTTCCTCCTGGTACAGGGAGGTACCTGTCACAGGAGGGCTTTATGATCTGCTTCAGGAAAGAAGAGGGAGGTCAGAAAGACCTTCCTGCACCTGCCATTTTCAGAGAGGATGAGCGAGCGAGAGAGGTCAGTGATGCGAGAGAATCATTGATGGGCTGCCTCCTGCATGCCCTGCACCTGCCATTTTAAAATTCCTTCAGCTTAAAACATTTCTTATGTCAATGTGGCATATTTTGTAGTGCTATATCTTGATGCCCTACAAAGGAATCTTACTGACTTCAAGGCAAGTATAATAGTGAAGACACATACCCACACACATGCATGTATTTATATATACAGAGATAAGAGTCAATCCTTATTATTTGCAGATAGCATATTTGTGAACTTGCCTACCTGCTAAATTTTATTTTTAATCCCCAAATCAGTATTTGCCGCACTTTCATAATCACGCATGGACATGCCCAACACAAATGTTTCCAGCTGTTGAACAAGATGATGTTCTGCCCTCTTGTTTCAGCCCTTATATACTGTAAACAAGCATCCTTCTTGTTATCACAATGCCATTCTTTTTTTTTCTTTTTTCATTTTTGGGCTTTTTGTTGGTGATTTCTCTGAGATGGCTCCCAAGCCCCCTGTGACAGGTACCCTCCCTGTACCACAAGGAAAGGAGCAACTTATCTCTGAAGATAGAGAGACACCAAGAAGAATCTGAGTTTCCCCCAGTTTACTACCCTCAGCTCATACTCTTCTGTATACACAAGAAGGCTGTGATGTGCCTTACAGAAAAAGTACACGCACTAGGTAAACTTCATTTAGGCATGAGTTATAGTGCTGTTAGCCCCGTCTTTAAACATTCACACACAGTTGAGAAAGTGTGACCAGGTGCATGCAGGAACCAGACCTGTGTTTCCCCTCGGAGCAGTGGTTTAATCTTTGCTAATTTAGTGTATATTGTCTAATAAGCATATCTATGACTTTAGAGAATATAGCTACCACAAATAGGAATGAACTAAATATGTTTTGTGGTGTTCATTTAGGCTCTGGTCTTTAAAATATATATTTTACTGATTTTTTACAGAGAGGAAGGGAGAGGGATAGAGAGTTAGAAACATCGATGAGAGAGAAATATCGATCAGCTGCCTCCTGCACACCCCCTACTGGGGATGTGCCCGCAACCAAGGCACACGCTCCTGACCGGAATGGAACCTGGGACCCTTGAGTCCGCAGGCTAACGCTCTAGCCACTGAGCCAAACCGGTTAGGGCTAGGCTCTGGTCTTTAGATTGACTTTTCACAATTAGCTTTTAAATTATGATTCAGAACCAATCCCTGCCATATTTTTCTGCTAAATTTGAAGAAATTATATTTTTTATTAATTTAAATTTGGAAGTTAAAAAATCTATTTTTGGTATATGGGACGGTGCTGCAACCAACTAAGCCACAGTGGCTAGGGCTTAAAAATCTTTTTTTTTTTTTAGTACCTACATGTGGAAACAGAATTTGGAATGTTAGATAACTTGCATCACATGGGTGGTATGTAGAAGAAATCAGATCTGTGCACACACTCCTAACCACCATACTAATAATTAGAACCAAACAAAACACCCAATGAAAAAAAATTTTTAAGGTAAAACATTTCAAATTTTTATTTTAAGAGGCAGGGGTAAAATATTTTTCAAACAACTGATATTGGAGAAATAATTAAAAATATAATCTGTCAATCCAGTGAATCCTTTCTACATAAATAGAAAAAAAGAAATTGTTTCATTATTGAATAAACATTCAACCAGACTGATGTGTGCTATAGGCAGTCTGCTAAAGAGATGGCAAAGACAGAAAGAGATCTCGCCCTTTTGTACAGCCAGGCAGATGCTATCCACTGCATCCATGTGAATTGTCTTTATCCAAAGGGAAAAGAAAACTTTTCATAACCTTAGCCAAGCAAGAAGTTACAATTCAGAGCCAGGAGCCTTCGATAACCTCCAATGGGACGGAGACAAGGGACAGTCCTCCCTGATGTCCACATTCAGAAAGATGGTTCCAAAGCTTTGACGGCAGGCATTACAGAGATGTAAAGTTGGCAAGAGGCTTATGTAAATCTTACAAATTTACATTTTTTTAAAAGAGAAGTTGATTGATTTATAGAGAGGAAGGGAGGAGAGAGAAAAACATTGATGCAAGAGCGCAACATTGATCGTCACCTCCTGCATGCCCCCTACCAGGGATTGAGCTCTCAACCCGGGCATGTGCCCTTGACCGGGAATTGAACTGGCAACCTCCTGGTGCACAGGATGCCCAACTAACGGAGCTACAGCATCTTTGTTATCACAGTTGCCACTCTTCTTCTTTTTGTGTGTGTGTGTGTGTGTGTGCTTTCTGTTGATTTCTCTGAGATGGCTTTTTGTTGGTGATTTACATTATTCTTAAAGAGACAGAGACAGGATTTATAGCTATAAGTTTTCCAAAGGAATTACTACGAGAAGGAGG